GTACTACTCCCCCTGTTAATGTCAACGAAGATTCCACTTTTACATCGGTCAGAGTCGGTTGTTTGAGGCGCCGCGTAACAGCAGGTACTACACTGACACATTCGTCGCTGTCAGCGCATATGCCATCCTTCTTTTTACAGGCCAAAACCAACAGGCTCATAGCCTCCTGTATTAGTAATGCCTTGTTGGCACAGCAAAACATGCAAAGCCAATGTGAGTTAGGCTTCGAGCATCTTTTGTATGCGGTGGGACTTAAGCGGGTGCACATTTTGTGGAACCACTTATGGCATTCGTCACACTGCATCCCCTCTTCCACAGTGAACAAACAGTTTGGTTGCCCACGTTTGTGAGTCTTACCAACCATTGTAATTCGATTTAAAAGGTTTAAAAACAAAAAATGATAACAATGTGAACACAAGTGTTAGTCAAGTACTAAAAACAGGTACTCAGGACAAAATGTAGCAAAAAATTTCAAACTTTAACCAAAGAACTCTTAGTTAAAGTCGACCAAGAATGCTTTTTAGTGCAATAAGTACCAAAAGCAAGTATAATCACTACAAGTACAAAATTCACTGCCCTTTTTGAAATTAGCCCGCGTACCTAATTTCTGTAAATTAGTAGGTAAAATTCGTACCATCTGTTGTTGCTAGAGCGCAATGTCATTGAAGTCCTCGGATGAAAGAACACAGTATTAAAGAACGATGAGTTGTGAGATGCAACAAGGTGGGATGGGTTCAAATGATGGAAGGGATGTCGAAGTTAGAATAAGGGAGGCTGTTTGTTACAATAGAAAGCTCATCAAAAGAAAGTGCTAAGAAACAACCGTACTATCGCTCCTGTCTAATACACTGGTTACACAACCCTCTCCATAATAGATGGTATATCGACGCAAGTTAATGTGGATATCACGGACAGATTGATTAGTTAAACAAACAAGAATTTAATACATGCAGCAAATTTAACTAGTCTATGCCTACAATATATCTTTCTGGTTCTGCTTAATAACTAGCTGAATTTAGAAACAACACATGTAGACGTTAACAACAATGTAAATCGCTGTTGCTTGGGTAACAATTGTATTGAAAAAAAATCCAGAAATACAACTAACATATCCTAAAGAACAATCCAATTTCTCCATAAGCAAATAAAATATAATAAGTGGGAAAAGAATTCGTCAGTTTTCCCACAGGTTTATCAAAATATGTGACATACGAATATACTGAACTATGTCACTGAGCCTTACCACAACTCATAATAAAATTATCAGTTAGTGAAATCGTTTATTGTTACGACACCATACTCCACTCCCACACATTTAAAAGAGGAATGGTATTCACACGAACCCGTTGTTCAATATAATGATATAAATTACTACATGGTCTTAAGTGGTTTAGAAATATTCCCGGTAGAATATAAACTAAAAGGGACTCACAATAATTGGAGTCGCAATGTCAAACGATGTTTTTCCGTTCGTACCAAATAAAACAGCAGATCCAATGTGGGAACTATCATCAATGAGCAACTTTCTCAAGCCGCTTTCTTTGTGCGACATTAAAGTTCTATTGGTCTTCAAAGCAATCAAATCATCTCTATTAATACAAATTGAATGAAATGAACGTACCCTTAGTTTGGTACATCTTGGCTGGTGAATATCACTTTGATCGGTGTTGGTTCCTGAAGTAAATACGACTGAATATTTAAGGTCGATTGAGGCAGGTAAACAACAGTTTTACTCTGGTAATATTATGGTCACCCTCCAATTAAATTATCTTTATCAACAAAATTAGTCAAGGTCAGCCTTCAGGTGATATTTTTCAGTTCATTACGGTCTATTTAGAAAGTCTTGGTTTTTAAACAATTAAGCCAAAATTTGTGAGCAGTGTCTAATGGTCTGATAGCGGAGTTAACATTGGACCATATAAAATCTTGTGGAAACGACTCACAACGAAGACAATGGAAAGTTACTCATCTCTATCTGACCATTTCTTTTCCGCCGTAGTTAGTGTGTAAGATGCATGTAGAACAGCTTTTTCCGTTGCACCCGGAAATTAATGTGAGACGACGGCAACGACTGTAAACGCTGGATCGTCCATATTCGTGTGGATCGGCATGGACAAACTGTAGTGTATCAGTAGTAATTTAGAGCTAGTAATCGTCTTTGGTTTGCCAAAAGCTACTTCACATCCTTTTGTCCAATTCCTGATGTTGTTCTTATTCAGTGGGTTCGGATGTCATGCATAGACGGCACAAAGACTGAGTAGTAGCCAATCGATCACAAAATAGATCATAGGACAGAGACATTGATGGCAGTCGGCATCAGTCGAACAGCCTGAATGTTTTCAGATTCTGGTCGTTGGCCTGAGGCGTCAAAGACAAATCCCAAGTACTTTACCGACTTTAGGAAAAATCGGCACTTTTCTGGACGTAGATGGAAACTATTGTCACTGATGTGTTGTAGCACAGCCGTTGTGCGTTCTCATTTAGCATAATGAATAAATCTGAGGGAGCTGGCAGAGAGTAATGATACTGTTCAAGGGTCGGGTTAAGGCCTGCGCGTAAGTGTTATGATACGTGCCCCCTTGATAACCACAATTGCTTCTATCATGGATGTGACAGCATCCAACGCACAACCCTGAAACAATATGTGGAACCCTTTCAGCACACAAGTACATGGTCCGTTTAACTACTTACTAGAGTCGCACCGACTGCCGATAGAATGAAAACAAGCTGTTCTCGCTCCAACCTTTGAGGATGAAGTAGAAAAGATTCAGCCTGTTAAAGACCAGTCTCATTACTCCCGAAACCGTCAATTGATGGCAAGAAATGAGATCTTAGACCTAATAACAAGGATGTAACCAGAATTTCAAGTTATGGAAGTAAGCGTAAACAGTAGAAATTCATTGTTATTAACGCATCGAAATTCAATAAGAAAAATATTAATCTTCATAAGAATAATTTTTGAAAAGTTATGAGCCCCTTACGTCCTACCACAACACTAAATATACAATGAAAGACAGGAATATCTTCATATGAAGTAACTCGGTTTTCTCCTTTCTATCAATGGAACACTAATTATCCTTAGACGAATATCTACACTAGACACCCTCTTGGTATCTATTTTACAGAAATCTCTTTTCTTTAAGCCACAGTATAAAGAAGATATTGTTAGTAATGTACTGCAAGAGAGACTGGCCAAGGCGATAAATCCCACATCTAATGCAGCTAACCTTTGACGTTATCCTGTAAACCTCTGGTGATTTCTGAAATAAGGGATAAATAACCTGAATTCACCACATACACACTTATCAACGAATTCGAATGTTCCTATAAGGAAAGCTATATTGAGCGTACAACCAGATATCTGAACGAACGCGTTAGTGAACACTCTCCTTCGCAATGTATAATTCCACTAAACCATTAGACCATCTTTCCTCAATTGGTTTCTTAATTCTAACACTAATTAACCCCTGACCTGTTCTTGCATATATATATATATATATATATATATATATATATATATATATATATAGTTATTATTGTAAACCTTTGTCATTCTAATCATTTACATTCATTTATGTAAATCGTTTTACACTATTTCTTATCTCAATGTAAAATTCTACTACATATTTGGTTGTAAGCAGCTGACGAGAAACCTCGAATTGCTATGAATTCATACTATTTTGTATCAATGTTTGTTCTTGCTTTATTGAAATTGAGTGGGAGGTCCGTTGGTGCTGCTTCGTTGTTGGGAGAGCCTAGATTCACAGTATGGTTTAAAATTTTTATTTTCTGTTAAACTATGTGCGTTTGCCTCCATTAAATGTGATCAGAAATCGCGAGATGTACCTTAATCGTGAGTTATATCTTCCGCTGATCCAACGGTTGGCCAAATTAGTATATGCCGTTCGTAACAACAATGTAAAGTTGTTACGTGTAGGTAGAAATCATATCACTTCACTATGCTATGTTTGTAATGTCAACGCATTATGGTAACTTGGGAGTTTAGCACTTTGTCTCTTGATCCAATTCCAATGATACCTACCTTTAAAAGACTAGATTTACATCAATATATATGGTCCATGGTTGTGTGACCATAGTGGGAAAGAAACGCGTATGAGTTAGAAGCAAGAAATCATTAAACATATTTTCCCATAAGCAGTCCAAGTGCCTTCCGATAACATCGGTGACCGTTTTGTTCAGTGTAATAATTAAAGACTGTTACATATGCTTCGAAAGTGCGGACCATCAGGTAGTAAAGATATGTTTATGGAATATGAGGCTATCCTATCACTTGAAGACTTCTAAGAATGAAGAAAGGTAACAGATCAAAAATCCGACTCAATATAACTCCTTAATGAAGAAGCAAAGGGTTTGCAAAAAACCTCTTCTCTATGACCTAGATTACTGAGCCTTATTCGCATTCCAAAAGATTGGTTTCCAATAAATGGATAATTTCTTTGAATGACCGAACTCTAAGCAAATAATGTCACAACTTATTGTATGTGATCGTCCTCATTATATACTTTCGGAATTCACGGTCTCTCCATTTCAGAATCTTTAGTGGACACGCTCAACTCTAGTATGTAATTCTCCGAATAACAAAATATCTATCACGGTTCACAACAGTCACTGTCTTCAGCAGTCAAATTGTCCTTGTAAAAACCTGTGTGCTTCGCCTGAAATGCTAAAATATAATGCTGAAAATATATCGCGACGAAAAATGATAAAGAATCGACGCTGTTTACAAAATATTAAGTTTGCCTGGCTTATTAATAGGTTATTACTTATTCGATAAACATGCAATGGGACTGCTTTTTATTGCTCGATTTCTCAAACTAACAACATGTTCCGTTCGTAATCACTTCTAGACCTTATCAAAATTCCTTTCTGATATAAGACTGTTTAACAAATGAAATTTGAGGCGAAACACTGGTTCAATATTCAGTGAGGTGGTTGCGGGATTACAAATTTGGCGTGATTAGGTTGTTTGATTGGGAATCATGAAGGTGATCGTTAAGTCGTTTGATACCCGAGTCATAGACACAAATGACTGTCCAACTGCTGCAGATCTAAAGATTTTACTAGCAAACAAGGACAATTTGCCACTGGATAGCTTGCAGCTATACAACTGTGGATCATTAATTAGTGATTCTCAATCTTTGGTATCTCTGTCGAGTGACGCATCTATCGATGTCGTTGTTCCGGCATTAGGAGGTACGTATTTTTTTGTCTGTTTACATTTCTTCAGGTAAGGTACACGGATCACTTGCGCGTGCTGGTAAAGTTCGTGGGCAAACCCCGAAAGTTGAAAAACAAGAAAAACGGAAGTCTCCACGAGGTAGAGCTAAGCGTAGGATGCAGTACAACAAGCGATTTGTAGCAGTTGTACAACAACCTGGTGGCAGAAGAAGAGGCCCGAATTCTAATGTAAAGTCATCCTAAAGTGAATGTCGAATAAACCTTTTGTTGGAAGTTATTCTCTATATTTTGTACCAAGTTTTTTAACCCTCAAACTAGTTTAATCTCAAGTAGGAGTTATGCATTAAGTGGGTTTGTAAGAGGAGTGTCACAATGTTACCTGGTTGCATTGTGTGGCTCCTTGTTAAGGTATACTCCTCAGCATTTCAACATTTTTATATATGGTTACAATTAAGTGTGAAAACAATGCACTCCTGCGGCTTTCGTCACAAAACACCGTATAATCTGTTGGTAGATACTTCAAGTTCCCACTAGTTCATAACTGACCTGACGGGTTCAGTGTGAAGTGACTGACATCTATCTGCCCCTTCATCGTGATTTCTTATTATTCGGGACCTTAACACTTGGTTTTCATGTCATAATCTAAGATGTCCATGGTCTCACATTTGCAGTCACATGAATTAGGAAGCTAGTTACTAACTTTGCGAGGCATTAGCGATTTGTCTTTTGCTACGTTGGGTATTTGTGTCTTCATTCTAGCAAATATAACTAATAGAATGAACAGGAATCCTGATAAAGGTACTGACTGGTTCAAAGTCAACACTACCTTTCATATTCAAAAAACTAAAATATTGTTTCGAGAGTTATCTAGAAGACTTATCTCAGTAATGTATTTGATAGACCAAGTACATGTTAATGCACTTAGCTTTGAATTCTTTGTGAGAATCTCTACCTAGCTACCAAAATTGAAGAATAAGGCGTTACTAGTAATTGGCAACAATCACCGAACATGTTGACTTAATTACTTGAAGCTTTGGCTTATTAAGAAAAATATTTTTCCGCTTAACTGTTTCTATCCTGTATTGTATATGGATGTTTTAACTGTTCTAAAATGTTTAACCTAGGCTGACAGCTGAAATGCGAGGGTTATTATACATGAAATTTTCATTCGATTCTAGGATAAATGACCAAGTCAGTGGAGTGCTACAGACAAGTTTGCAAGTGTCCACTAACATCACAGGTTACTAATATCAAACGATGCCACAGTGAGAACTAATTTTTCTAAAGATCACTTAGAATAAAAACTAATTAAAATGAAAATACACAACTTGCACATGATGACACCATTTGGATAGTTAATTTGAATGAAAATGGATGTAAAGAAATATATAAAGGAGCACCATATGACTCAGAAAAAGTGTGCACTGAATTGCTCCCGTCTATTTGTATTATGGTGCTTTCTTCCAGGTAAAACGGGTTTGTTATTTCGGAATTAGTATGTATCATTGCAATAAATTTGACGTTGAGGTCCAGTCATAAGCAGGAGCTCAGCCTAAGGTCAGATGTCGATCACACGTAGCAGTTTACTTTAAGGCGAATGAAATGTGCTCATAGATTAGGATCATTATGCGTTTTTAGATGAAGGCTGGAGTGGCAGCTGTCCTTTCATTTTAGAACGTGAGAATCCTTTGATCGGTTCGAATTTCGTATCTTCCCCAACATTTGGGTTCAAGAACAATTCCTAAATAAAATGATAATCAACCTATTAGGTCGCAAACACCAGTATATTTTTGATGTAATACTATGTTTGTCTTCGACAAAGCTGAACTATACCAACTTTGTAGTGAACTAAAACTACAAGGTGAAGTTTGATCAGCGGCGTAATACATATAAAAATAACTGAGCTATACTACAGTTCTTACGACAAGCTCTGTCATATTGTCTTACATATGTATAATGATAGGACCTGTAAGATAACAGTGTAATCATGATACTGAATCTAGCATATATATCAGTGTCTTGATACGCAGCAGCGTTCCATAGAGTTTATCAAAAAGTCCTTCCTAAATAATTAATTATCAATTTATCATAAGTATAACTGTTGGGTTCATTGATTGTCATATATGTTCAGTCGATGGTTGAAGCCAGTAATTTCAGTGACCTGATAATCATCTTATTTCATGCCAGTAAACTTGCTCACGCCCCATCATCGAATAAGGTGTTCGGGATATTCATTACTTTTGTCCAACCGTTCCCCACCGGAATGCATGATGTTGACTCGTATATGTTGGAAAAAAGGTAGGCACACCCAAATCAGGACATGGTATCAGTCCATGAAGCTATTGACTGTTGGACAGCTGTGTTTTTAGGTACAGACAATATGGTTGAGGTCGGCATGATTATCGTGACCAATGTTTAGAGACTGGTTAATATGGTTCAGAATTATTCAGTGACGCATATGCATCCGCTCTGACTTACCTGAGATCCCAAGTTTACCAATTATCTTTTATATTTGGTCCTACGAATCCATGTTTCTGTGATCATATCTGTTCTTGATCTTCCCTGCTATCACTAATATTGTTACTACTTAACTTGCTCTGGCGTCTCACATTTCTGATGTAGTGTAGCGAATTTAACCGACGTATTTGTGCCTGTTCTTACATTATGTTTGACTGATTTACTCTTCGTACCTATCTAACTGATACAACCTACTGGATTAGCACTATCTCAAAGATGAAATCACTGAAAACACAAATAGGCAGCAACCACAATTAAAATCCCTATTGTCTTGTCTCATCGAGAATCAAGAATATCAAATGGCAACACTTGACCTGAGATTGCGAATTGTTATTTATTTTAAATGTAAATTTTTACATACGTTGTCAAACAACTTAAAATTATGACGGAAACAATTGCGGAGTTTATGATGGTTGGTTTATTGACAGAATAGATTTTCAGCCAATTAAAATGAATCGTAAGATGGTCAAAATAAACGGTTTCGCAGTGCCGTATTCTCAAACATACAGGTACTTCACTTATCTTGGAAGTCTGATCAGCCTTAATGGGTTGGTGCCTGACGAAATCTATGCACAGATTTGGAGAGCTCGTTTGGTTTTAGCCAACTTACGTCACCTGGGGCAAAGGCGAGATATCCGTTTGTCGATTAGCCGACGAGTATATTGTGCGGCAGTTCGTTTTGTTCTACTTTACGGCTGCGGAACGTAGAGAAGAAGATACTCGTAAGCTACAAGTATTTGACCACAGATGCCTTGGAAATATTGCTCGCATCTACTGGGATCACCGGGTAAGTAATAGTGAGGTTAGACGCAGGGTGTTATGAAGTGATGGTAAATCAGTTGGTTGGGCTACGTGTGCCTGAACACCGATTACCACGATGCGCAATACTGACTAGTGTTGGGAATGGTTGGAATAAGGTTAGGGGCGACCAAACCAAAACGTGGCACCAGTCCTTAAAGTCACTAAATTCTGGTTTGAGCCATGTTGGTAGATGCAGACTACTTGGTTGGAGTCCACGTGACTATCGTAACCAATGGTTGGAGACTGTGGGTGACATGGCTCAGAATCAATCACAATGGCGTAGGTGTGTACACTCTGTCTTCCCTTAAAATTGCTTTATTTCTACAAACTGATTCTTTCTTCCTTTACTATATGCTTTTACACAATCTTTCTTTTATATATTATTGCTATTGAAGTAACTAGTTCAATGAATTTGGTTTTCGCCTTGTTGTGCTAATGAGGTGTGGCAACATGGGACGAATGCATATATGTGCATGCTGCTACGTTGTAGCTGACTAACTCAAAATACAGGTCAGTTTCTAGATACGTGTAGAAAAAAAAGAGATGTCTTTAGTCATATATTATGAGTAAAAATTTTTCCGAATGGTAAAGAAACTTAGAAAGAAATCCCGGAAGATGTTGAGAATAAAGCACCAAGTGGATGCCCGGATGAATTCTTCCAGTTCCTAAAATTACGTTTAGAAAAAAAAGATGAGTGGTCAACCATTTAAATATTTCGATTAGTGAGTAGGCGTAATTAAATCCTCAACGTTTTCTTAGCAATGAACCAGAGACAGCACTTCTTACTTATCAACTTTGCTTTATCTTGTCTTATAAGATCGTGTAGATCAAATTTCTTTTTATAACAAAAATTTTCAAAGTCTTTGGAATCTAAATCACATCTCCGAATCCGGCAATATTGATCCGAATTATTTTTCGATACACAGTTTACGGTTGTGGTGTCCATGTATTTTTTCTTAAAAATAATCTACTTAATTTTTTGCGAGGTTGTTCGAAGTCACTGGATAAAGTTACCTTCCTTCAGTATGTTCTTTTCATTCAACTATATACGAATTACTCAATGCAGCCATTTCCAAAGTAGACTAATACCCATTTTGATGAATTTCCCATTTGCTTCTTATCATGGTTTACACAGTCTTCGATCGCGTACGTAAACTTGAGGTCTAGTTAAGTTGGACGGGAATGTTGAAACGTCCTAGCTTACGTCGAAGTCACACTTCGCGGTACAAGAAACGAAGTACGAACACTGGCGCATGGGCCAGTCCATAGCGTGAACTATACCTATGCGTGTTTGTTGTCCTCGACTTTGATGGGGATCGGTAAACTGCCCACTATTGGGTGACATGACTGCCAGTAATTTGGCTGAGTGCAAGTGACATTTTGTTGGCCCTATAGATTTAGTGTGTTATATTTCCTTGAGACTGAACAAAAGCGAAGTTGTTCCACTAAATTTTAAGAATAATTCATATAAATCATATCTAAAGATTGCCATCTAGCATATTGGTGGTATACTGAAATCCGCAAACTAACTGTCTATTAATAATTTAGATGGAGTGATCAAGTAGGGTACTGTAATATCTCACTTTTGTTCGTTCTGGATTGAAAGTTTAGATTCAAACTTTCACATTACAATCTTAAAATTCAAGGAACCTTGACAAAGTATAAAATAGAGGGGTCACAATATTTTCCAAAGTATTAGGATCTTTTTGATGGTTTCGGTTAATTAGAGGTACTTTTCTGAAAAAAATATACACAGGGATTATTCGATAATGATGCGTGGGCGAGGGAGGTTTTTAGATAGTCTGATTGATATTAGACGTATTGTATATTTTCTTACCCTTATTGTTAATCTTGTTGACTCGGAAGTCTGTTCACGTCCTATTCAGGCAACTCACTTGTCCTTGATCTAGGTTACGCCGAAGTTC